CTGACGCACTTGTGGTTCTTATTCCACTTTGATGCATGTGGGAAAAAAGGGTGATGGCTCCAAGGCGAAAATACGAGGATTTGTGCAGGTCTTTGAAACCCGCAGGAAAGAAGGACAAGTGCTGGAAGAAATCGGGGGCTGAGAAGAGGGAGTCGAAAGAGCATCGCAGAAGCGGTGCCGGCCTCTCCACGAAAACGGCGCACAGACGCAGACGTAAATCCGAGTCGAAAGTTACAGTCCCTTCGAGTGAGCGGGACATTTCAACGCTGAAAGAACGTAACGAGTCGCCCCCCTCGACCCCTGTCGGGGGAAAGCGAGGAAGAGGCGTCGAGAACCGTCCGCCGAAGGCCCCAGAAAAAAAATCGCGGGATGATAGAAGCGCGACTACTCACCGGAGTTCAAAGAAGAGAATATCCTACAAAGACGAGAGACCAGTGGAGACAATCGATCTTGGAGGGTCTGACGACGGGAACAATACACCCCAAGCGAAAGAAGAGGAGGAACACGACCGTTCCACGCCAGAGAAGTCAGACGGTGCGGAGGATGAGGAGGGGGGAAACGAGGGAGACGACAGCGGTCCTTCCCGCGGGCAGTCACAAGACACCGACGAGGACGACAACAGCGACAACAAATCGGCCAGCCAAAGTACCGGCGAAGACCGGAGCGCCGCTTCGGAAGGAGATGATTCGCCATCTCCTTCGAGGACGCTGCGCAGCGAAGGAGAACGGCAGGCACGCAATGGCAGCGACATCGAGGAGCCTGTCGGTGACAGACAAATCATGCAGCACGTGAGCGCAACTGGAAAAGGTAAAAAACCCGCGTCGCACTCGCTCCCCTCCCACTCACGAGCAGCTAATCCCGTGCCCCCACGGGGCGCAAGCCTTCACGCACGGAAAAGGGTTTTGGTGAACCCACTGTTGATAGCCGAATCTTCCAATTACCAAGTGCTGTATTCAGAACAAGGCGCCGAGTTGCTAACACTATCATGTGCGTCGTCTTGTGTTTCCCTACCCATCGCAACGTCAGGAACGAAAGCGCGCGCAAGGGGCATAACCGCGCAAGGACTCAACGAGGAGAGCGATGTATTAGCGCAGAAAATGAAGGGCAAGCTGTTTGTTCTGCCGCCAAAGCCTTTGCGTTCTCTTCGGCGAACGACGCAACTCTGTACCCTACAGAGGACACGTTTTTCGCGGCGGTGCAAGCGACGGCCAAACTGGCAGGGGGGACAGCAGAGGAAGGGCTGCGGTCTCACATTGCAGAGCGCGGGATTCGAGCTGTCATAGGGGAATGCAACAAAATTATGACGACGATCCGCGGAGAGATTACCTGGCAGCTGAAGCATTGGTTCTGGGCAGAAAAAGGGATTCCGCTGGTCGGATCGCATCAATCGGACCACCACCTCCCCGCTCGCAACAAGATGCGCGCCGAGATGAAAGAGAACAAGACATGGAGACGGAGCGGCGACGATCCGTGGGGCGTCCCCGCCTTCAAGACGACTCTCTTAAAAGTTTTCCAGATGAGGAAGGAAGGACGAAACCTCGGCGTCACCCTGCAGCAACTCGCTTTCGCGGAGATGGTCATTCAATGTGAGATAGAACAGACAACGAAGACGACACGAGTTGCGGAGCAAATAGAAAAATTGGTATCTATAAAGCAGGCAATCGTCTCATCTCTACGAGCGCGCGACACGGTAATGAGTTTTTCCGTCTTCAAGCTGGATAAATCCGTATCCGTGGCTGAGAAGGCAGCAACCCTCTTTCGCTGTGGCACGCCGTCTGTCGATAGGCCTGGCCTCCCAAGCACCACAATAACGGATGACGA